TCGTGTTCTGGGCTATTGTACTACTCTAGATACTGTTGGTGCTTCTATCAAGAAGAAAAGCGGGAGGGGGGCAGGATATGGAAAGGAGCGTTTATCGCAATGTGGATGTGAAGCCAGCATTTGATACAGTTTCAAAGTCAAAGTCTTATCATGAGCGATTTAACAAAACGAAAGCTTATCATGCCCCATAGGAGCTTTACAGAGTATTCATCAGTCCTTGTGAAGTGACTGGGTTCACCAACTCAGTTATAGCCCCGGGTACTGATTTCTTGTTCCATCACTTGGGTGGGGAAAACACCGCCACGAGAAAACAACGACAAGGGCTTCCTCAGCAAAGGCTGTTTGAGACGCTTGGTCGTATATACGCATTTCGCGAGGTGCAAGAGTGACCAGATACAACTCAAGAACTATGAGGGAGATTCAAACATTTGACCGATCAGATTCTAGGGGTGACACAATGGTTTTTTTCCACCCAAAGAACATTAAACCGGTTCCACTTCGAGGTCAACCTAAGTGGATTCTCTGGGCTTTTGTTCATGAGGTTTCTGCCGGAGAGCCTAGCTCAATACCAGTTTCCTTTTGTTTCAACTGGTAGGTAAGGATCTGAAACCGCACAGTAAGCTTCAAGGTGTAAAATAAACGTTAGCACAAAAAAATGCAAAAGCTTCACTACCCACACCGACAGAATCTGATGAGAACTAGATGGCTTTCAAAAGAATTGAACCAACACCGCTTCGAAACTGCCGCTTACCTTGAACGGTCACTCCCCGCCCCTATCCGAAACATTCAATGGAAAATTATGTATTCCACGAAAACAAAGTAAAGGAAAACAAAAATGTATTAACTACAGGTGTCCTCCCTACTTGGAGTGAGTAATGTCTCACGTACCCCCCAAGACTCATTGTGTGCATTCTCTTTGAACGCTTCGTAACAGAAATTCGGTAATGAAATTGGGAAATCGGTCCTGATATAGATCACCGTATATTTATCTATATGTGGCGCCATTGGCAGGGAGACCCCATGGCAAGATCAAATGACTAAATAGAATCCACCTTTCTAGAACGGGTTTATGGACGCACGTCGTGAAAGAAATTATAGACAATCAAACTGCACAACTGCGTTAGTTGTATCAACCAATCGGGAGTTGGCGCCCTGGTCGAACGATTTTTTCAAATTAATAACACTACTCCCTAATTAACAGTAGGTAGTTTTGCTATGAAAAATTGGTAAGTTGTAATCAAGATGCTCACAGCATGTTTGATTAGGACAGGGGAATAAGCGATGGTTAAAGGAAGAAAAATACACCAGAAGGGTGAGCGTTATTCACATCTTTCATGGATCATCGTGAATATTCCAACCTACCCAGCGGGGATTTCCGCAGCCTGAGCACCGCTTGCACTTGGACCGGATTTGATTTTACTCTCCTCAAAACGCATTTCCGCTTGAGCATCGGCTTTCTGAGCGGCCAAAGCGGCCTGGGCCTGAGCAACATATTCCACAAGATAATTAGGCCATTCCTGTCCCGCGGGTCGACTGTGCGCGTTGGCTACATTCGAACAGGAACGAGAGTGTTCGTATGAGTCTAACGCGTCAGCCGGTCGATTAAGTGCCATTAGGGCCTTGCCTCGATGAAAGTAAGCCTTGGCCAATTGCGAATGGGCGGTTGTCGCCGGGTTGTCGACATCACCGGGAGACAGAAGCATCAGAGCTGTATCGCAATCCTTTAGGGCAGCCGCTGGGTCTGCGGAACGTAAATGTGCCTGAGTAGTGAGGGACAGAGTGAGAAAATGTATTTTATTCCCTACACAAATAGAAGACAGTTGAAGATATTCGCATCAAAATTGGAACATAGGTGATCGCACCGAAAAACGGTCATCCAGAAAGCGCAATGGCATGGTGGGTGGGGACAGCAGGCGACTGTGGATATCACGAACAATTTCCGGTTCGAATATCGTGCCAACCCAAATCCACGGTCATAAACTGGCTGTGATAAACTGAGAGAACGATAGCCCGGTCTCAACAGGGAAAGCGAGACTGCAGTTGATCACCACAGGCGAACCAATCGCAACAGTACGCGACAGGTCCAACAACGGTAATGCAAACAGCAGCATCTTAGGACAAACCAAAGCGCACAACAAGAGGCGAAAATGGGACCAGATACATGCGTCATCATCTGATGATGATGAGCGAAAAAAACGAAAGCGATCAATAAGGTTGAAAGCACCAGGTTTGTGGGCTGATGCAAACGAGCGGGTGAGTCTGACCAGAGAGTGCTGTGTGGAACACAGCAAAAGACGGTACGCAGATATGATAGGGCTGATAGGGACTGAAGGTCCAGGTGAGTTAGCTCTAAAGTTTTCCTAAACAGTTTGCGCGAACAGGTATCTATGCTCAGCATGAATCTTACACCTTCGGATTGCTGGTGAGTTGAACCCAGTTTAATTGGAGGAAACAAGATGGAGAAGACAGCTTTTGTCAGTTAGGAGGCGAAGTCACAAATAAAGATTCCCCACTCAGGCAAAAAGTATTATCATAGTCAACAAACATCAGATTTCTCTGGCGTCATCCGGTTGATCTATCGGGCGGAGATTAAGCTGAAGCAGTCCGCAGTGTTTTACTCTGAAGTGCATAGTTTAGGTCAGTGAATGAAGAAAAGTACCAGCCTTTATTGGAGCACCGTTGTCTACGCAAGATGTACACCTCCGAAAGCTTCAATAAGGTCGGGGTTGGGTGTCCAGGGTTGCGGCTGGTTACCCTTCCCTGCCACCTCTCGAAATGATAGCATACGACCAAGAGTCGCAAGTAGCCTCTGCTGGGGAAGCCCTTCCCATTGCCTTCTCGAGGGGCGGAGGTGTTTTCCTACCGAAATGAGAGGTGGGATGACCGAAATCCGGGTTGGTGGACCACTGGTAGTTCACCTAGGGGAGTTGGCTAAAAACCCTGGTTCTACACCAACAAAGAGGAGGCGTACGAACCACACACACCTTCCCGGTTGTGGTCACCCGCTCGATTGGGCATCCTGGTGTATTGAACACCTTGGACGTTTGACCTCGTCCAAAGGGCAAATGATTCGATTAACTGGACACCGGCCCCCAATGGATTGCGGTTTTCGCATACTGTCCCGCTGCCTTGCGGGTCAGGCCTTGGCTAGCCGAAGGCTCCGGTTGTGGATTCCCGGGGAAAATTCACCTGCCCCGGCCTGGGCAACCTAGCAGTATTCAGCCCACATGCAAATCATGTAACGTTTTCTTATAATAAAAAGATTGTTGTACTATGTATGATTTGTTTGGTTAGGCACATCGTCGATGATAGAGTAAAGTATCGTATTGAACAGTACTCATGTATACCACATTTCGCCAAACAGCCTTGGTAGTAGACAGCTCTTCTTTTGTCTAGCTAAATACTACACTGAGAATAATTGGACATTGTGGGATTCGCCATTCCAAGTCCCGGTTGCCTCGTGACTGTGGGGTTAACCCGTCTGCTGTGCTGTAGTAAGTTGTTAATTTCTTTCTTGTTTAATCCCATAGTTTTCTTTAATCAAAAAGCAAATGGGTATCCCGAAAGAGAAATAGCAACCGAAACCGAGGCGCGGACATGTAGAATTGACGGTTTTATGGACTAAAATGAAACCGAACTGACTCCGATTCCATCGCTCCGGTAAGCATCAGTAAAAACCCCATTTCTAAATGCGTTACCAAGCAAGAGCAAATAAAGCCCCAACTGGTTTTGTAAGCCCTCAAACTAAAGACGATGGAGGGCAGGGATAGTGATGGTTTTTTTAAAGATTATTGTAGTTTTGAAAAACGGGTGATTTTAGACCGAGTTACTGTCCGTCAGGACACATTCGATTGCGTTTTAAAAGACGGTGACCAAAATTTAAGCAAACATACCACGGTCGGAAAGATTGTGCTTTCCAGTTTTCCTAACTAGAAGCCGCACAATACCGCTTTCTTGTATTGATGATAGTGAGCAAAGGATGCAAGCATTGTACTACCAGTGTTATGAACCTTTTCAGTTCAGCAAACATCTAGATGGTGAAGTTTTGAATAAAATAGAATTTTTTCGTTTGGGTTAACGCACGACCAGAATTTCAGTCACTCTATCCTACTGACGCTGTTTACCAGTAGAATACACACCCCAACCAATTAAATCCCTAATCGAACTGAATCATGTGAATATGTACTGAAACTAGCTGTCTTCATCAAGACTTCGAAAAACGTTAGTGAAAATCACCATTAGCCACACTGTATACAACGCATAAGCAAAGTGAGTGTATCCAGTGACGGTGTATTCAGTCTCTCCGTTATCACTTCCACGACTGACGCCAGTCACACAACCCGCCCCGCTCTCAAATCCGTCCTCGATGGATTACGAAAATAGTTCAGCTTAGTTTTCTTTTCTTTTCAGAAAACGGTGATTATTCCAAACCTCGCTCTCCAATGATCGGTGGAATCAGATGAGAATCAGTTACAAAGAGCCCCCCCCCCTTGCAAGCCAATCAGTGGATCCAATCATTTCCGGTTTGCAGAAGATTTCGATTGTGTCATTAAATCACCACC